AAGAAACAATTCTACACAAAACTGCAGCAGTTTTTGATGTCCAGAATGTTCTCTTCCTGCATCTAAGTTCATAGTTATTTCAAAAACTATTTTTTTCAACACATTTTATGAACTTTGCCAGGTGACATCAATGCATTGGACACTGAGAAGTGGGCCACAGAGGCCCCGACGGTCACCCTCTGCTGCCTAAGGGCTTCCTCCTGCTCCTCTAGCTGCCTCTCCTGCTCCTCAGTCGGCTTGTTCAGTTTTTCTGACATTTTCTGCTGCTCAAGCAGAGAGGGAGTGGAGACGTCAGAAGCGTGCTCTGCAGGCCTCTGTGAGGAGCTGCCTCTGCCATCTGCACACATCCTGTTGGGAAGGTCCTCGATGGTCACTTTCACTTCTAAGACTGTCTCATCCTCAGGGTCGCAGGCCACCTCTTCCCTCTCGGATGATTCAGGAGCCTCTTCCACATCGTGGCATGTCCCTTGCTTGGCAAGCTGTGCATCCAAGGCTCTCTCCAGGTTCTGCTCTTCTTCAGGGCTGTGTGGCTGATCCTCCTCCTCTTCCTCTACAGCCTGAGCCTTTGAGAACTGACCAAACTGCTCAACAGTCGGATCTGGGCAAGGAGCTGTGGACACCCCGTCGTCTGCCTTGGTGTTGGAGTCCTGGTGGAAGGAAGGAAGAGCTCCAACAGACTCCTTGGCAGGGGGCTCAAATGATTTCTTCTTTCCAAAGAGAATTCGCAAGATGGTTTCCAGCGGTGACACAACAGAGGAAGCTGCTGTAGTGGCCGCTGCTCGCTTAGTTGAGGCCGTGACAATGTGGGTAGCTTTTGGCTTGATGGATGACTGTATTTTTAACTCTGATGGTTCCAGAAGAGAGGGTGGAGGTGGAGGGGACCCTGTGGGTGCGGTGCCGACAGCGGTGCCTGCAGCGTACAGGGGACACTTGCAGGGCTTCTCCTCAGACCGCGGGGCTGCGGTTATCTTGGGGTAGATGGAAACGTCCACTTCTTGTTGAAGTCGGGGCCATTTCTTCTCAATCTTGTCTAACTCTCCAGCACTTGAAGGACGTTTTATTTTATGACAGATTACTAACCCAAGGATTATATTTGGGCGTGGTGACTCGAGACCTGAAAAACAAAATATTTGTGTGAATTGTAGAATGGAAATCCAGTTTTCATCCTTCAGAGGTAAGTTTTATTAAGGGCTTTCATGTGAGAAATTCTGTGGGAAAATAAAGCCAAGTGTTTGAGAAGCTTATTGCAAAAGACTGAATGGTCCCAGTCCCACGAAGTCACCACCAGGCCTAACCAGCCCTGACAGTGGCCGCTGAAAGGGAGGGATTAGCCCCCAGCCACCAACTACAGAACCAAGGGCCCAATTCACGAGTAAACTCACCCCAATTGTCAGAACTTGAACATGTTTTATAAAAAATTACACCCAATGCTAAAGCAATAGCCTGGTGGAGGCGGCGGGAAGGGCCCTACAGCAATGACTAACACTGTTAACCTGCAGGGATCAAAAGTGCGTGTGCACCAGCACATCTTTTAAACAAATGCATCTCAGATATGCTCTTCTGTGCCTCTTGTGACATATCCAGAAGGTAACAGCACTTTTTGTCTTTCACTTATGGGTTGCAACCCATAAGTNCTCTTCTGTGCCTCTTGTGACATATCCAGAAGGTAACAGCCCTTTTTGTCGTTCACTTATGTGTTGCAACACATAAGTTAAGCTAAATATACTAGTATTAGGTGTTAATGATTAAGGACCAATTCAACTCAATTTACAATAACCAATAGGATCATAATCAATAAAGCACAAAAACCATTAGGTAAACTCATCAGTTTCTGGTACCAGAATTACAATGAGTGAAACAATAATGCTGACTGAAATAGTTAGAGTACATGTTTGAGGCTTAGAAAAAAATTTAATGAACACTAATTTATCAAAAACCAGCTAATGTTCGAGTCTTTGTAAACACAGGGCTTGTGCTTAAGTAAAGCACCGAGGCATTCAGCACACGGGTGGGGAAGGACAGTCACATGGAGACAGACTGGGAGCTTCAGGGCACAGCATCAGTTTAC